AAAAAAAAAAAAAAAAAAAAAAAAAGGAAAAAAGTTAAAAGAATAAATGAAAGTGCACGCGCGCGCGCGTGTGTGTGTGTGTGTGTGTGTGCGCGCGCGCGCGCGGGGGTTGGGCGAACCCCCCACTACCAACCAATCAGTCAATTAATAAAAACGAAAAAAAATCAAAAAAACTTAAAAAATCCTTCTTCATTTTTTTTTTTAGTTTAAATGTGCATTTTTTTGTTTTCCATTTTAAAACATGGTAAAAAAAAAATGGTCCATTTCACAAAAAGAAAAGGGTTGTAGGGTTCTAAACTTCCTGCAACTCCTTTTTTTCTCATATTCATTTGGCATGAAAAAATATGCTGGGACTTCTTGGCCGCTGCCCAACCGCCAGAGGTCAAGGCCGTTCTCTAGAGTCTCAGTCTGACTACCCAGCCCTCATCCATTCTGATTATCCAGCAGTCCTTAAGCCCTAAACCCTTTTCCTTACGCCCTTGCCCGTCATGTTGACAGGCCCCCGCTCCTGTGATCCGGGCTCATGACCCTGACCTATATTACCCTTCCTAATCTTCATTCCACTCCATACCACCCCAATGCCACCAGACATTGTGGAGAGGGAGGTAACCTGTCCGGGAAGTCCTCGGGTGATCTCATTGGCATAGACGCATCCAGCAGCGAATCCCCCCCGGCGGCGGACAGCCGCGGCCAGGCCGAGAAGCCCGCGGACGTGTCCGCGCGGACGCGCGCATTCGCGGACACGTGGCGGCCGCAGGGGAGGGGGTTTGAAGATTCTGGCGGCGCCACGTGGCGGCGCATCCCTGCCCCACCCCCCCGCACAAAAAAAAAACGAAAAAGATCAACTTTTGGTGGGGGGGGTATGTGCGAAATCCAACGAAAATGGAAAAAAAAAAACGCATTTTTTTTTTTTTTTTTTTTCTCGTTGTTGTTGTTGTTGATTGATTGATTGAAGAAGAAGAAGAAGAAGAAGAAGAAGAAGAAGAAGAAGAAAAGAAAGAAAGAAAGAAAGAAAGAAAGAAAGAAAGAAAGAAAGAAAGAAAGAAAGGAGAAGAAGAAGAAGGAGAAGAAGAAAGAAAGGAGAAGAAGAAGAAGAAGAAGGTGAACACATAAATAGATGCAACACAGCAAGATTGAATCTTGCACTGACTGAGAAGAGTAACAACAATGAATTCAATCCAAAATGACCCAGAGAGAGATCCAGAGATAGGATCATTCATCCCCTCCTCCATTTCGCCTGGGCGTCAAACGGCTTGCCCAACCAATATGTACTCCTGGCCGTGACAACATCCATCCTCACGTCTGTAGATTTACACTCCAAGTCGACCATCCTGCAAACGCTGTCGTTTCCAGGCACGGCAAGCATCAACCCACGTTCTTTTTCAGCACCGCTACAGCAAAACATGGATGCTTAGAAAAGTTGAAAGATGCTTGGAGATCGCTCCCCGGCCCAGACAAGAGTGCAATTTTAAGTGCCCAGAGATTTGCCGTAGCCACCTGCTCCATGTTCCTTACCTCCGCAACACGCTGAGCTTTCAGATAGCTTGCCAAATGCGGATCCTTTGCAATACCAGTTTCAACCTCTCGCAGCCGCAGCTTTGCGCTCAGGAAACACTCGTGCGCCAGCTGATAGAGATGCTTCACCGTCAGGTTACTGTGGTCCGTGTACTTCAAGTAATCGGCGTAATGGAGGGGTTCTGGCAAGCGAACTCGGTGTAGCGGTTCAAACCGTTGCTCGAACCACTGCGCTTCAGAATTGAACGGCGGTTCGATAGGTCGGAACTTGTCGTCCCTTGTGAACGCCGCGATCATGCGAACAAGCCCCTGACAAAGACCGTTCAAGCATTCAAGAAGCAGAACTTGATTGCTTGGATGGAATTCTTTCCCTTTCGACCCGCCTTTCCTTCGGTTGCCTTTCTTCTTTCCTGAGGCCGAATCCTGTTCTGAACTCAGGACGCTATGTTCGTACAAGTGGCGCTCTTTCGTGAGCTGCTGGTTGATGGCAATGACCAGGACATTCTCCAGGTACCAGTAGACCATGCTGAGTTCTGACGGCGAATACAGTTCCAGCTCAAACCCGAGCATCAGGTAATGAACGATTACCCAGCAGGTTTGTTCCACCGTCCAACTGGCAAGAACGTTGTCACGCCACCAGGTATTCCCCGCATTCGGGAAGGTCATCAACATGTGCCTCATCAGCACCTTGCTCTCGCCCGCCGTCTCCGCCTCCTGAATCAGAATGTCCCAATCTGGCAAGAATTTGCCAAGCCTTCGTCGCTGCCGAGACGGATTCGCACACAGGATTCTAAGAAGGGCCGCGATCACATTTGCTGTGTGTCTGGTAAACACTGCCATCTGGCAATCACCTCTCAGAAGATCGTGAGGTAGGTGCATGTCTCTGAACAGCAGGTCACCCATGTGCTCCTGCCCCAAAACTCTATCTTCCTTCAACACAAGCATCTGCAGTAGCGAGCGGGCTATTGGTCCCGGCCGCACTTTTCCAAAGTCCACGCAAAACTGCATAAGCTCTCGCAAAGATCTGGACATGGACGGAAGCTGGCAGATGCAACCCAAGTCCCGGACAAGTTTTTCAAAATGGCTCAATGTCTCCTCCCAGCTGAGAATGCTAATGGGTCGCGGAGGAGTCGGCGCCAAAAGCCGGCGATTGATGTTGTCGTTGAAACCAATCGCCGGCCGTCCAGAACCTGTCGGCGACCTCTCATTCTCGCCACTAGGACCCTTGTCCTCCATATCCACAGGGCTGGACTGCCCATTCCTGGCCCCACCGTCATCACCATTACTCGTAGGAGCAGGAGCCTGTCTCTTCAGAGACGGTGAATACTCTCTAAGGCAGGCCAAATCATCGGAAATGCTCCGGATCAGTTTCTGTGCAGCGTCTAATCCCCTCCCCTGAGGCTTCTCCATATGGAGCAGGATACTGTACAGCGTCTTGCGGAAACGGAGACGGCTTAGAAGTGCCGAGCAGTAGTAGGCTTCAAGCTCTGGATTCTCTTGCGTTGGCACAAGAACCTCGTCTGGCCCCTTCTTCTTCAGGAGAGCACCTCCCTTGATAGCCTTAAGCTGCCGTGAAAGCTGCTCCTCCACGACATTAATACCAGACATGCACCTCCCGTCCCCTTCAACATCCAATGGCAACCCAAAAGTGTGTGTGGCAAAATCCTCTTCCTCAGGAATGCCAGCGCGACATACCCAGTTCCGGAGCAACACGCACGTCGCTCTCACCGCACGGCAATAAGCGTGCAGCAGAGGATTGGATACCGTTCTCTCCGGCTTGTGCAGGTACAGGCAAGTGAACACCGTCTGGGCCAGGGAGTGCCCATTATGCCAAGTCGCCTCACATGCCAGCACATAGTCCATCACATCCAAGAGCTGTGGTATCGTCAACTCGATCTGTGCCTCTCCATGCGTCATCGCCTCCTCTACCGTCTTGTACCCACCTGTCGCCATTCCGGCATCCATTTTCGGATCCATTATTTCAAGGGCAGACATAGCCTCAAACAAGCTGAAATTCTCCCCATGTATAAGTTGCCCGACATCCATATCTCCACACGCTTGTCGAAGAAGTGGCATCAGGTCCTCTTCCGCCATCTCCATGGCCGCCCCCTTGTCAGGTGGAAAATCTGCCGCGTCTTCCCTGGCAGGTGTCGCTGTTGTCATCCACTCCCTTGCAATCGCATCCCCTTACAAAGTCGAAACCAGTTCGCAGCTAACAAATTAGGCTAGCGTGGAAACCAGATAATGTGGCCCTCGACCGCATGGTCCATGCTCCTAATGCTCAAGCCTGGCAACGACACCCCGTGGGAAAACTTCTCAAAAGCATTCCTAACCGTGTGCCGTACCACTAGTCAGGCATTGGTCGCCCAATTGCCTAGGCATCAGGGGACTAGCGGAAAGCCAACCTCTCGTAAACACCGAGCCCAATCGTCAGAGGCACAACGGTGATCCATCACCAATTTGATCCCTGACATGCAGACCACAGCTGCAATCACGACCAGATACGGATACCACAATAGCCAATGTCCGGCTTGCAGTCCACACACATAAAGCACCCACACGGGAGGAGGGGTTTCGGTGCTCTACTACCTTCTCGGCTACCATGGTCTAAACTCCAACGAGACGCCTCAAAGGTGTACCTCAGCTCAAGCTTCCTCCCGACAACTGAACGTCGCCGCCTCCCACCCCTGCCAGATGCAACTTGGTTACAGACGACAACCTACTACTCACGTGGAGACGGCCACAGCCTTCCTGCCAATGATCACTGCATGACGATGGATGTTCGCTGCGACGCAAAACGCAAAACGCAAACTACCAAAGCTGCATCTTGAGGTTCATCTCAGTCACCTTAGGTCCTTTATATATTTGTGTGGCCTCCCTCTGATGCGCATCGCCTTGCGCATTAGCATCGCCAGTGTGCGATAAACATCGCCTTCTCAGACTGCCATTACTACTCCTTCCCCACATCAAACACTTGTTTGTCACCGCCCGTCTGCGACCTGGACTGCTGCTCTGGCCAGACTCCCTGTGTAATACTACTACGTAATAATAGTATAGGCAACGAAAGCCACAGGTTGATTCTAAGGGCATACTCACACTTGTGCTTTCCTTTTTAACGTATCCAACTGCAATTACAGCCAGGTTAAGTCAGAAAAGTCCTAGTCCGCATATACCCGTTAAGCCCCGTCAGAAATCCATCACTTCCAAAGCCATACATGGAAGCATATGTCCCAACGACAAAGAAACAGTCCCGAGTGTTCGACGACCTTTCCCCCAGACTACCATAGGAACGAATATACAGCCCCTTCTCCTTTGCTACCCTGCACAGTATGCAGTTGTTTCGAAAGGGAGCTTTTCAGAAGCACCTCCGACTGCTCAACGCGGTCATCATTGGTCAGTCACAAGAGCTCATCGGAACGTGCATCATGGCAAAGAAACCACATAACACTCAAATTGCGAGTGAAACGCTAACCGAAGTTATAGTAAATGGGAAATCGCAAAGTGCAAAATTGCAAATAATTTCACCACAAAAACAAAGAACCACCGCAGGGCAAAACACGACACACTGGCGAAAACTACACTAAACTGCAAAATCTAGTCATGAGGACTTCCAAGGCCAGTCAGCAAGGGCTCTCCCTTTGCCCTTGCCCTCTGTGACATCTGCACGATGCAGCTTATTTTCTCTGGCAAATTCCGTAGATGCCACCCTGACACAAGCAGTAACTTTCTCCCAAACCCCTCAACAACCTGTTCAGCGGTTGACGACTCGCACAACCTTCCTTCCTTCGAAATCCAAGTCCTGCAGAAAAGGTGACAAAAATAACAAAAAGTGAACCTATGCTATGACAGAGGCTTCAATCCATGACAGTGGAGCAGTGTCCCTAAAAGCACAGACAATTTGCAGTAGGATAAATGCGAGGGCATGGAAAGCAACACAGAAAAAGACGACTCAAGGCTCCAAAACGGATGAGCAACGTCCTCCACCTTGCATTCACAACCACCTCCTTCAACATTCATATCGACAACAAAGTCGTACATCATCCATGGACCACAACCTAGCATCTACCGGTCAGACACGTTGGCACGGCCTATGGCTCCTGTTCAGTCAAACCACACAGTAGCAAGGACATGGGTTAAAATGGGAACCATACGGAGACGATAAGCATGGCCACTGCACAAGGATGATACACATGTACGGAAAGATGGGCAAACAGTCATGGTACGGATGTACTACAGCTAATGTGCCCGAACTCGAAAACCAAGCACTACTGGGCCAGATTAGTACTAGGATGAGTGACCTCCCGGGAAGTCCCGGTGCTGTACCTATTTTCGGAAAAAAGGAAAAGATTCAGTCTCTCATCAATTGACCAAAGCAACTGGCCCCCAACGCCTAAAGAAGTCTGTCCTCTCCTAAGATGTACACAGCATCGAACCAATACAGACGGTACACACTGTTTCCCAAGATGAGTAGGTGAGAGTGCATGAAGAGTACACCTTCAAGGTGTCAAACTCCGGTCTTCCTCTCCGTCTCCTCTTCCTATCGCAACGTGAAAGATGATTCAGTAGCAGTAGCTCCCTCTTAATAATGTTGCCCCTTGCACCAGATACGCTTGGAGTCTGTGCAAGAGGATGTCAAGTGGCCACAGCCAGCAAGCTCTACCATAGCCAAGAAGCCTGTCCTCCATAGCCAGCAGGCTATGGCTCTACCATAGCCCAGAAGCCTGTCCTCTCCTTGACCAAAACTATCTCCCAAAACTATCACCCAAAGATTGTGAAGCTCTGCAAAACTCACATCAGCATATCGGCTGCACGGAATGAAGCATTGGAAAAGAAATGAGAGTTTGCTCAATCAACACCTTTGCCTATATCCCTGTCGACCTGTCGGCAACTACATTGCAGCCCCTAGGCTATTGACCTTGGGAGGTGTGTGAGCTCATCTGGGGCTCAGAGGAGGGTTCACTTGCAAATAGACAGATTTTGGATAGGCGGATGTGTAAGATGGCAATGGGAGGACAGGAAAGTAAAAGAGTTGCAGGGACAAATATGGAACCTTGTCTGTACAGGCGAAAATCGTGAAGCTGTGGCCACTTGACATCCTCTTGCACCAGGCATATCTGCCGCGAATCCGGAATTTGTGCGACAAATTACACACCCACAAGGCTCTTCCTGCTCGGTCTCCGCAGACATGGATAGCTTCCCGGTCAGCCTGCCATTCACCCCGGTGTATCTACCTCTAATTCCCCCTGTGTGCAGTCTCTTGCCCAGGTCCAACTACAGCTCGAAAAGCCTTGGTCTCCGCAGAAAATGATAGCTTTCCGGTCAGCCTGCCATTCACCCCTGTCTCTTGCCCAGGTCCAACTACCGCTCGAAAAGCCATCCGGATAAGATTGAGACCTAACTTCCTGGCAACTCCTTAGCGGTGCAATTAGCTCTACAGCTTCGCGATTTTAGCCCGTACAGACAAGGTTCCATATTTGTCCCTGCAGCTCTTTACTTTCCTGTCCTCCCATCGCCATCTTACACATCCGCCGATCCAAAATCTGTCTATTTGCAAGTGCACCCTCCTCTGAGCCCCAGATGAGCTCACACACCTCCCAAGGTCAATAGCCACATACAAACATGGTCGAGAATCTTGAAAAATTTGAAGTGATGCAGATAACACAGCAAAAGCACGTGGCAAGCTCAGACTGAAACCTGCAGTGCTAATTGCAGTGACGAAAATCATGGACGAAAGAAACAGGAAAAAGATACACCCTGGGCTCACACAAGGTATTATCAAGGCACATTCCACCTCAGCATGCTCTCTCTCTCTCTCTCTCTCTCTCTCTCTCTCTCTCTCTCTCTCTCTCTCCCTCTCTCTCTCTCTCTCTCTCTCTCTCTCTCTCTCTCTCTCTCTCTCTCTCTCTCTCTCTCTCTCTCTCTCTCTCTCTCTCTCTCTCGCACACACACACACACACACACACACACACACACACACACACACACACACACACACAAGCGTACCTCAACCATCTCATGCCTTCAGTGCAATAATTCAAGAGATGACATCAATCCTCGCCCCCTAGGTCTTCTTGTTCCTGTGCATATTCTTCTTGTGCATGGATGTATACATGTGGTTGGCTGGGGCAGAGATAGGGGGCCACCAAAGTCAGTCAAAGATGGAGGGCCCAACCCTAATCTGGTCACTATGCACTTGCTTGTAGAGCTGGCTGCTCTGTGGAACTCGCTGGTATGCATAGTGGCTGGCTACTATGCCCGCTGGGCTACTTTGTGCCAGGTGCTGTATGCACTGGGTGCTATGTGAGCTGAGCGCTATGCGCAGTGAGTGCTACTTTTTTAAGTCGGGCACTACGGATTTGGGCAGGGCGTACCCCACAGGATGATACGATATGCACAGAGTGAGAGGTGTTGGCCAATATCACGCAGGCTGCATGCTATGTGTCCTGTGTGGCACTGTGTGGGCGGATGTTATGTCTGCTGGGTACTACTGTGCGGGCCAGGTGCTACGCAGTGGATGTCAGCATATGAACCAGTGTTCCTAGCATATATCCAGCTTCGCGCCGAGACATTACTGTTTGAGTACCCCACCCAAGATGATGAGGTGCGAAAAGACTCCTTCGATATAAGCTCTTGGGAGTCGTCAGCCTGGGCGCCCCTTTGAGAGCAAGAGCAGATCACTGTGCGGTACTCTGAAGGGTGTGTTGTATTGAGGTGGAGAGTACGATGCCAGCTGGGAGCTACGTGGAGGAGAGGGCAGAACTATGTGGGCTGGCTTAGGGGGACAAAAGGAGACCTTCCCCCAGAAAAAGGGAACCCCTATGTGGCAAATGTTTGCAAGAGCATGCAGGTGCCCACCGTGTTCAACTACAGGGTGGCGCTCTGGATCTTTTTCCCCACAAACCGCTCATCACCCTGACTCAGCGCCCACGTGTCCAACCCTCTTTTTCCAGGCCCCTTCGCTATCTCGGCATGTCGCAGCCCTGCAACGGGGTGTGCCATCGCAACCCTTGCTACTTTCAAGAGAAGCGCAGATTATTTGTACCAGAACCAGCAGGTATCTCGGTACATTCTGACAACCGCAGCAGTGGAATTTCAGTCAGAAGAAATGGTTTGGTTATCGTGCTGCCCTTCCTTCTCTCTCTTTTCCAGTGCGCTGCATTTAAACACAAGCATTCCCAATACGTTGTCCTAATGAACTATCGGGCGAACCATAGGCAGAAAGGGAGAAAAAGACAAGAAAAGGGGGCCTCTGACAGACCGTTTCGTCCAAGCTTCACCGACCCATCAGGAGGCTGAACCCTCTACAGTCTGCAGAGACTCCTGACCAAAAAAGCTACTTTGTAAGTGGCAATCCACGTCAACCAAATCAACGCAAACTATCACCCACCCACACCAGACTTCTACAGACAGTACGTTCACAACCAAGCAGAAGCCCCCAGCAAAGCCTCCTTGAGAGAGGTTTTCCAGAGCCAGAAAATAAACTCAAAACCCACCGCTGGCACTAGACGCACAGCAGGGCGGCGTAGCGACAGCCACAACCACTGCCACCCTAAACCTGACCAGCAACCCATCGCAGGGAGCTTGCAAAGACGTGTTATATGTTCGCTTAGACAACTGCATGGTGAATTGTCGGCAGAAAGAAAAGGACAAGAATCGGCGGACTGCGATACGTATATATACGTACAAATGGGTAGGCAATCAGCAAACCCACGGGCTGTCAACGGTGTGGCTACCGTTGCATTTGGCGACACTGACCTGCTTCCTCCTCCTCCTTGTACTCTAATAACAGACAGCTCCAGAAAGCCAGTCAATCCCACACTACACACCCCGAAGGCTGTGTTGCCGAGGGACTGCCCCACTATTTGGAGCACTGATTGGCCTTCATTCAATGGCAGACGTGACTTATACTGAATACTCAGTAAGTTATACAGCAGTTATGGGTTGGATGGTAGACGCATCTTCCTTCTGTGGTGGAGTCCTGCCTGACCACGGCAGTTAGCTGAAGGCTCGGGAGGTTCTGCACTGGCCAGCTGCTGCCTCAGATCAGAATGACTGCTGGGTTGCTACCCCATCTTCATCGAGAGGCGTTTCGAAAGGTCTGGGCTTGGGAAATTCTGCACCAGGCTGCTGCTGCATCAGATTAGAATGGCGGCTGGGTCTCTGTCTTGTCCTGATCAAGAGGCATTTGGACGAACAGGTCAGTGAAGGGATACCCCCATCTCTTGACTGTTGGCCCCTGGGACGGTTGACTTCTGACTTTGTCAAAACGTTGACTTGTATTTTTGACTCTGCTTTGGACTCTGCTTCTCACTCCACCATCTGCCTGTTTGATTGCATGTCGATCTAATCAGCGGCCTCTGTCTTGTTCTGATCAAGACAAATTTTGACAAACAGGTCAGCGAAGGGACCACCCCCATCTCTCTACTGTTGGCCCCCGGGACATTTGACTTCTGACAAAACGTTCACTTGTATTTTTGACTCTGCTTTGGACTCTGCTTTGGACTCTGCTTTGGACTCTGCTTTGGACTCTGCTTCTCAGTCTACCATCTGCATGTTTGATTGATTGTCGATCTCATCAGACTATCGTCTTCACCCAAATTAACGCCCGGTCATTATAGCCATATTTGGGGCACTTTTCAGTCCAGGTGCAGTGCTAATGACTGGGGCATTCTATTCGGGTGAAGACGGTAGTTACCAAATGTGCGAAGCATAATTCCAAGTATCCAGGTGCCATTGTAGGGCATGAAAACAGCTGACCCCATTCGGACCCCGATCTGTGAAATTGTCTTACGCCATATG